AGTGGCCTGTGCCAAGGCCCAGAGGGACCCGCTGGGCACACACACTGACAGATGTATCCCTGGTGTCCTCTGCCAGCCGTCCCACAGTACAGGGCACACTGACCTCCAGAGTGCCCTCCTACACTCTTCAGCTTCTTGGTGTGTGTAACACAGGATCCTTTGACCCTCACAGAGGTGGGGGAGGCCTTGCAAAACAATACTTCTTAGCAGGAGGGCAAGAGAGTATTTTAATTTATCCATCGCCCTCACCTACCACTGACCACCACTGTCCTGTAGGGCATTGTAGTTCAACTCCTGGGATAAGATCCTCTCTAGTCTCAATCCTCTTTCCCTATTTTTTCAGAACATTTTCTGTTGCCTCAATTTCCCTCACCCACATGTTCCTTGAACCTGGCTTTCTCACACGTCCCTCTCCTTATGTCTGCCTTCAGCCAGTGTTGCATCCTGAGTTTCCCTGTGCCGTCCCACGCTCTGATATTTACCCTGGGAGTTACACGCCCCCAGCTCTAATCTGATCCTTGTGGAACAGCAGGTTCATTTAATCACCGGCTCCAAAATTGCAGACACATTTTATTAGACTTATCTCTCCTAACGATACAGTGATAGCACACCACAGTACCATTTAGAGCAAGCTACTACTGCTAACCCAGCTGACTCCTGGCTCCTTTATAGGGGAATAAAGCCAAGGGAATGACACACCGTGTCACTTCATCAGCCCAAAAAGAACACAGCGTGGCACTTGCTAACTACAGGTCCCCAAAGGGATGTGTGATTCACACATAAAGGCACTCCCAGACCCAAGAGCTCTGTCTGTCAGCAGAAAAAAAGCTGTATTCTGGTCTAGTTTGAATTCCAAAGTTTGTGTACTATGAACATAATGCCCTGTGTCTAGAAAAGCTCAGACTGCATTCCTGAATGTACTTCTCATGGAAGCAACAGAAACCTTTCAATTTTTTTTTCTCTTTTCCTTCTCTGTAACATCATCATTAAATGAATTTAAAGAGTAAGCATGGAATATCCTGACAAAGGCTAAGGTGAACCATGTGCCAGAACAGGGGAAGGCTTTTGATTGATTTGCATGGAATCCCACTAGCACCTGGTTTCTTACACTCTGGGAAGTTTACATCACTTCCCTCCCCCTCACTTCCCTCAGTAGAACTCAGGTGTTCTACTGACGCCTGATAATTCTGTGACCCCCCCCTTTTCAAATGTACTTAGCAAACAGATGCACCTGGCTATTACAGGTGCCTTCTCATAATCCTAAAAAATGCATGATTTGCTGATTCCCCTTTTCTCTGGAATTGCAAAGTTTCAATTCCAAACCAGCTCTGTTCAGAGGAACAGACTTTCCCAGTGAATGCCGCCTTTTCTTTCACAATTTATTATTTTGGCTGCAGTTCACACTAAGCTTTCCATAGGGAAGCTGCATCTAGGTACAAAGAATTCAGCCAGAATGAATGGAAAAAGAAAACACACTACAATTTAACCACGTAAGAAAACCCAAAACCTTAAATTGAAGCAAATTAGCGCAAAATCAGACAGCAGTGAAATGAATCTAGAACAATACCCAGATAAAAAACCTACTGAAAGTTTAGCACCAGGAGAAAAATCTGGACTATCACTACCTTAGCATAGTGCATAATTTCCAAACAACTTTGAACTTCTCTGTTGTGTAGACAAAGAAAACTATGTGTTCATCACAGGCTCTGCCCAACACGTCTCTTTTCATCTGGATGGATGTTAAGACATATCTAATAACACATTTGCCACTGTATTTCCTGATCTATGCCATTTTTCCCCTCAGAAAAAGCCCAGGAAAAAAAATTAGTCACATAAAACTCAAAACTTACAAGCATCCCAGATTCTGTGGTATCTCATTATGGTTAGGGCTGAAGCCCCAAAACACAGACTTGAACTTTGTATGTTCAAGACTACACAAATAAATAAAATATTTTTCTTAAGAGGTTTTTCTTTGCAGAATAGGCTAAAATACTTTCTCTCAGGCAGATGGAATAACGTTGCTCCTGAGCACTAATCTTCAGTCAGCATGAAGTCACCCGGCCTCAGTCACTTGCACCTTCTGGCTCCTGCTCCTGCCTGGGAAGCGCTGCTCCAGGACTGGACAGGAGGCAGGGCTGCCTGGCAGTGAGCAGAGGTGAGCCTACAGCAACTGTCCTGCAGAATGGATGCACAGGAACTGACACAGAGCACAAGCTGCAATCACAGCAGGCAGCAGCAAACTCCTGGGTTTGGGCACTCAGGAGTTATGGGATTGGCTCTAATGGAAGCTCTCCACAGCTTCCCCATAAGAGAAGCCATCCACTTGGGCCTCCAGGTCTCGTTTCCCACTTCCATGAGTTGAATGGTTGTCCCATGGCGGGGAGGGACACTGATAGACAAGGTGTATCTTCTTATGTAAAACACAGCTTTCACTTAATTCTCTGTTTGTCATAGTTTATATGGCCAGATTGGCCTAAAATTTTATAAAAAATGTTTCCTACTGGGAGCTTTGTTTCCACTACTGGAGAAGAACTCATTCTGCTGTATAAAGATATAGAAATGTAATTTTAAAAAACTCTGGCACTTTTCCTGCTTGTGTAATTCAAAAAGGATCTCAGTAAAGAAAATTCAATTTGGCAATCCATTAACATAGATTTGATGCTCTCTCTGTTCATATCTTGATGTCTCACCCCTTTCAGAAAAATGAAAATAACTCTTGGTAAAGAGTGGCTGTTCCCTCTTATTAGTCCAGTATATTGGCAATTATTAAAACCCTAGGAAAGTTGCTGAAGCTCTGCTGACTCATGGTGGCCAAGAACTTATTTGTTAACTCCATAACCAAGGTGGAGGAGAGAGAGAAACAAAAAAAGAAAAAGCCAGAGAACAGGCAAAGTTTGGGAAGAGGGCTGAGTGGCAGATGTACACCAAGTTGCACCAATTCTTCAGGAGAAAGGATCTGGATGTTATTGAAAATTTTACGTGCTGTGTTTGAACCAGGTGAAGAGAGAGACCTAATTTTAGGCCATTTAAGTTTAGGAACCTAAAAGAGTCATTTCAATAAGGAGTTTACCTCTCGCAGACATCTACTGTCAACAGAGGAAGAGCAGCAGTTCCGAAAGACAAATTGACTTACCAAAGGTCTGAACTGTGTTCTTCCTGCTCCTTCAAGAACAGAGACTCCCCAAGGCAGTGATGGAAAGCCTGTAGCAGGACACCAGACTGGCACATGACACTGCTGCCAGCAGAAGAGCTCAGTCCCCACTGCACTCTGCAGTTTGTCACTGCTGCTCGACCCTACAGAGCAGACTGCAGAGCCCCAAACAAGCTGCAGCAGAGCACGGAGATGGTGACACTGACAGAGATTAATGGAGCAATTAACCCTTTCCCTCTCCACCAATCTGCCCCAAAGAGAAGAATTCTCACAGAATGTGCCATGACGCAGGAATGTATTTCTGACATGAAAGATGTTAGTAGGTGTTAGCCAGGAATGACTGCACTCCTCATTTGGGAGCTCTGGTTTGGTGCATTAATACTTGTGGGATTACTGTAAATCTGAGGTCATTCACAGCCTAAGTACTAGCAAAGGTGGCATTTTAATGCCTGGAAAATTCTAGGTTTCACCTCATTTTAAGTTATTCTATTCTCACAGCAGTGAATAATTAGGGAAAAACCAGAGCACATTATTCCAAGGGTAAGGATTCTCCCCCAGAAAGGCAAAGCAGTTCTCAGCACTGTCTGGCTGCATTTGAGGACTGCACTCTGCACTTCTCTTCCAAGGAGCAGTACAATTCTTTCCAGCCCCCTGCCCATTCTTGCACGAAAAAGAGCCAGGATTTTCCACTTGCCCACCATCATCTGTGACCACATATTTCTCAGTGAAGGAAGGCTGCCAGCATGGTGGATTTGCTGTAGCACCATCTTAGCCTTGCTCTGTCCAGACCAGAGCATGTGTTCTTTCCCCACAGCACACAGGGAAGAAGGGAAAACTAAGGAAAGACAAGGTGGCTCTCTTGGTGGTATCTGACAGCTGTAGAGCATAACACATATAAAAAGCTCGGCATTGCTGTACCTTCACATAACATCCTGTCCATGTCCTGAACAACAGTAAAAACAATTCACCTCATTAAGGTACTACACCAAGCTGAGTAGTCGCTATGTTTTAAAGGTTCTGGAAGCCTGTGGTTGAAGTGTTAGTGTTGTGGAACAAAGTGACAGCAAGTTGGGAAATAAATGAGCACAGCACTCTCTTCTAACCTCCTGGCACTGAGCCTTTTAACAGAGAAGAGAAAAGCAAAAATGGAAAATGTCAGCCCCAAAACATTTTTCACGTTGTAAAAAATACAGTCCACTCTAAAGCACTTGATAAGAGACACACTGAGGGGTCTGATACTTCACTGAAAAATAGTGAGCGGGTGCAAAAAGGTTATATGAACACATCTAATGCAATAAGAAAAAAAAAATCCTTCCTACCAAAAATTTGTATCTATATCCTACAAACGTCACGTCAGCCCTGAAGACCACAGCCTCAGCAGCTGCCGCTGAGCTCTTAAGCTCAGGGATGCAGGGCAGCTCTCACAAGCACGCAGAGAGGGTCGGGGCAGTCCGGCACCCCTCGGCAGCGCACACGGAGCTGCCCGCTGCGCAGCGAGCAGCGCCCGCTCTCCCGGGAGGGCTCGCTCATTTGCAAGGGAAGGCAGGCACTGCACATGCCCGCGGTGCTGCTGCCGCTGGGGGCAGCTTTACATAAGGCTGCGCCCGGCGCCAGCCCGCCACAGTCGGCCGGAGCTCTCGGCATGCGAGCGCGGCAGCGCCGGAGCCGCGTCCCGGGCCGGGCTCCCCGCAGCTGGCGCGCCCGGCCGGCAGCGAGCCGCGGGCCCATGGCGGACGGGGGCGGCTGCGCCCGGAGCTGAGCGCCGCGGGCAGCGCCGACCAACATGCTCGCCTGTAAAGCAACCTTCTAAAAGCCAGGTTCCTAACTAGAAAGATGCAAAACCGTAATATCCATGAAGATCCTATTACCTAGGAAGAATTTGACATTTTGCTGCGAATGCTTTGTTGGGATTGATTTATTCTTGGAGTGTTCTGCACGGCTGGCAAAGAATAATGCTCCAAAATCGGTCCATCTCCCAAGGGGTCCAATTTTTCTTCCTGGGTGTCAGCGAGCCCTGACTCACTACAGTGCAGCTGACAGGGGCTGCCATGCTTGTGGCACACTAAGCAAAAAACAAAAGACCTAAGGACGACCTTTGAACAACACAAAGGATGGGTATGTTTTTCATGTTACCTTTTTAATTTATAGTTCATAGTTACTGCATAGCCTGTGCTTTAATTGCTCCATAAACTTACCTTGATGTGATTTGTTATTATACTTAAATGGCTTAGGGATTACACCTTTTCTTTTACCCAACTGTTTGTCAGTACTTACACCGAGGTATTCTTAAACCAAGAAAAAAAAAATCAAAAAACCCTGAGTTTAAAAAAAAAAAAAACCCCAGTGTGAAAAGTAGTCAAGTCAATCTAGGGCTTTTTAAATGATTGCTGAAGTAAAAGATTTTAGCATGATTGAAAAAAATGATTGATGTGTGGGGGGATAACTTTTCTAAGTTGTTTTTATTTCCAGGTTTCAATGTAATTAGGCTACTGAGCGGATCAGCTGTAGCTCTGGTAATAGCCCCTACTGTATTACTGACAATGCTTTCTTCTGCTGAACGAGGATGCCCTAAGGGCTGTAGGTGTGAAGGCAAAATGGTATATTGTGAATCTCAGAAATTGCAGGAGATTCCCTCAAGTATATCTGCTGGTTGTTTAGGTTTGTCCCTTCGATATAACAGCCTCCAAAAACTAAAATACAATCAATTTAAAGGTCTTAATCAACTCACCTGGCTCTATTTAGACCATAACCACATCAGCAATATTGACGAAAATGCTTTCAGTGGAATACGCAGACTAAAAGAGTTGATCTTGAGTTCCAACAGAATCTCCTATTTTCTTAATAATACCTTCAGACCTGTGACAAATCTCCGGAATTTGGATCTGTCATACAATCAGCTGCAGTCTCTGGGATCCGAACAGTTCAGGGGCTTAAGGAAGCTGCTGAGTTTACATTTGCGATCCAATTCCCTGAGAACCATCCCTGTTCGAATATTTCAAGATTGTAGGAACCTTGAACTGTTGGACCTGGGTTATAATCGCATCCGGAGTTTAGCAAGGAATGTCTTTGCAGGTATGATCAGACTGAAAGAGCTTCATCTGGAGCACAATCAATTTTCTAAGCTCAACCTGGCACTTTTTCCAAGGCTAGTCAGCCTTCAAAACCTTTATTTACAGTGGAATAAAATCAGTGTGATAGGACAAACTATGTCTTGGACCTGGAGCTCATTACAAAGACTTGATTTATCTGGCAATGAAATAGAAGCTTTCAGTGGACCTAGTGTTTTTCAGTGTGTGCCCAATTTACAGCGCCTCAACCTGGATTCAAACAAGCTCACATTTATTGGTCAAGAAATTTTGGATTCTTGGATATCTCTCAATGACATCAGCCTTGCCGGGAATATATGGGAATGCAGCAGGAACATTTGCTCACTGGTAAACTGGCTTAAAAGTTTTAAAGGGCTGAGGGAAAATACAATTATTTGTGCCAGCCCCAAAGAGCTGCAAGGGGTGAATGTTATCGATGCAGTGAAAAACTACAGCATCTGTGGCAAGAGTACCACAGAAAGGTTTGAACTAGCACGAGCTCTCCCAAAGCCAACGTTTAAACCAAAACTCACCAGGCCTAAACATGACAGCAAGCCCCCTCTGCCCCCAACTATGGGAGCCACCGAAGCCGGCTCTGAGCCCGAGCACGACACAGAACACATCTCCTTCCATAAAATCATAGCAGGCAGCGTGGCTCTCTTCCTGTCGGTGCTGGTGATCCTGCTGGTGATCTATGTGTCATGGAAGCGGTACCCTGCCAGCATGAAGCAGCTGCAGCAGCGCTCTCTCATGCGAAGGCACAGGAAAAAGAAAAGACAGTCGCTGAAGCAAATGACTCCAAGCACACAGGAATTTTATGTAGATTACAAACCTACCAACACTGAGACCAGTGAGATGCTGCTGAATGGAACGGGACCCTGCACGTATAACAAATCAGGCTCCAGGGAATGCGAGGTATGAACCATTGTGATAAAAGAGCTTTTAAAAGCTGGGAAATAGTGGTGCTTTATTGAACTCTAGGGACTATAAAGGGAACGTTTTTCTCACTTTTCTGGCACAGCTCTTCCATGTCCCTTTTTTGTACATTCATAATACTGGTCATTTTACTCTCATACATAGTCGACTCATTGAAATTTAAATACCTCAATCAATGTGAAGCCTGAGCTCTGGTTTAATACAATACCTATTGTACAAACCCTCTGCTGATCTCATTAAAGTCTCTCTTGTCTTTAAATAGAAAACTTCTTTCATAAGTAATCCACTGCACCTGCACTAACTGTGCCTCTGTTTGGGGAGAAAAATGACAACAATCCCAAAAAAATCAAATTCGGGGTATCCCCCTCTGCCTCCCCAAACCCAGCCCTTGCTCTAAAGCTCACTTTTTGAGCCCAGAAAGAAGTAAAGATCCAGGTATGTAGTATGTTATGAATTCTGAGTTGTCTGAGGATAGAGATGGTGCAGGAACAGCTCTGAAAAAGTGCCTGATTGCTGCCAACACAAGAGAGACTAAAAAGCATCCTTAAGTATCACATCAGAGGCAAAGCAGAGGGAAACCTAGGCTTAATAAGAAATTAAAAATAAAGAGGTACAGTGGTATTTGCTGTGCTGCATTATAGCACAGTGTTTCTAGGGCCGATAGCTAGCAATTGAAACCTGTTTATGTGACTTCATACAAAAGGTGCCAGTGTTTATCCCTACATTCAGTTGCCTTTCAGAAGATAGTCAAAAGGCATTCATTAGATGAGGAGCAGAAATTCCTTATTGATGCAATTAGAGGAACTCAAATGTGCAGCAGCAAAAGCAAGACCACTTCCTGCACACATTTGTTTCAGTTCTCATTAGGAATTCTCTTTTCAGGACTGTCAAAGGCATTTATGTAGCTGAGGAAACCATTAAAATCCATCATTTTCTTCTGTTTCTGTTTATTGGCTGGGCTAGGCATGCTAAAGTTGTGTGTTATATTTTGCACAGTGTCCCTCTAATAACTAAATAAAGCTTCATCACTTAAAATGCCAAACACTGTGCATTTTAGACATACTACAGCTGCAAAGGTCTTTCAGAGAAAACTGGTTACTCACTGATGTGAGAGGAGTACACCCAAAAATCCTCTACACAAATCAGTGGTAAATAATTTTCCTCTCTTACCAAAACCCTAATGACATTACAGAATTCACAGATACTCGGTTCTAATGTCTAATCATACACCAGTGGTTCTCGGCAAAATACAGATTTGCACCCCAGCTACTCCCTGCCTTCCTTCTCCCAAAATCATGTATTTTGTTGGCTGCAGAAGCATGTAATATCCCCCATATTTGCAAATAAGTCATACCTCTTATTTTGATTATCAGGAAGGGAGGGTATGAAATAATAAAGCAGCACCTTTATAGAAGTCAGTAATTTAATTATCTCCATTTTGAAAGTTGATTTGGCTTTGTAAACTGCACATCTTCAATCACTTGGGAAGGAATATTTCTACAAGGCAGTTTCACTGCAGCAGATTAGAAAAAGCAAAACCTTAACAGAAGGTTCTCCTGAATTGTTACTGAAAAAACCCAGTCATAGTCAGTCACCTTGAAACATGCTCAATACAATAAAAACAAAGCTAGAAACATCTCTTAAAAGAACTAATACACTTGAAACGGTTTGGGCTGGGTTTTTTTCACACAATGAAACCATTCTCATTTTCAAGGACTGTATTGAGGAAATAGCTGAGGGTGGAAGCTGGAGCTGTACTGAGCCCTGCAAGAGAGACCCCATTTCCCTGAGTACCAGGACCCCACACCATTACCAGTGCAAGTGCTTGAGACACTTCAGCAGCACAGCAGAGCTGCTCCTCAGCTGCACCTTGGAAGTTGCTATTAAAAAGTCAATACACATTTAATTATCCTAGCTACTATAGGATTCAGTTTTCTACCAGCATGTCTTGGTTATCTCTGTACTGAAGCATTAGAGTTTGCTATAAACTTCATGTTAACAACTATCCCTGTACTTCAGAGGCTTTCATCTCTGCAGTGGTGACTAACATTAGGTACAGCCAAACACAAGAGATTTGCCCCAAAACATATGTTCATGCATACATACACACACGCGTGTGTGTGTACAAATATAAATACACATTAAAATTAAATTTTTATATTTTGTTTTAGGACTGCTAACTGCAACCAGAAAATAATTTCATGGTATTACTTAAGAATTTTTGTTATTCAAAAATATTCAATACATCTTCTAAAACCTCTTAATGGACTATGATTGTGAGAGATGTCTATAATTGAGTTGGACTTACTATGCTTTGTGTTTCTTTCATGCCTTGTTCTAAACATTACTCAGAAAGAACCAATCCACAACCTCCTTCAGAAAATGACACCTGTAAAACCATCACTAGCTCCCTTTGAATAATCAATTATAGGCATGAAAAAGAAAATTAAGCCAGTCTGCCATTAATCATGGATGGATAACAAAAATACAGTAAAAATCCAGCACCTGTATTCATGCACAGACGTGCTCAGATGAACCAATTCACTCGCAGCCCGAGAACTCCAGCTGCAGGTATCTCCAAACACATCTGGGCCAGTGTGTAACTGCTGCCCCTGTCTTTGACACTGCAGCCCCTGGCTGACCACACACAAAGCACACCCAGTGTGACTCTCTGAACCTTGTGCACAACCCAAGTCCTGCGAGCCAAGGTTTTAAATCCCACTCTAGTGCCTGTGGCTTAGAAAACATTTTGAACCAGCTCCACAGCCCCTTAAAACACATTATGAACTCCGTGTTTTCATGTGGGCAAAACCCACGTGAACTCAGCTAAACTGAGTCTCACCACTGTCAAATGAAACACTCCAGAAGTGACTTGGTTTGGGTGGCAAGGCCACCGGAGTCACAAATTCTAATAACCTTATGGGAGTGACTTGGTCTTAGCTGAACAACTTGCAGTCCCCATGAAAGGCTGCCCCTCTCCTGAATACAAATGAAGTGCTGAAGCCTCAAAGGTTCCAGCAAAGAAATTTCTCCTTTGCTTCTCTGCAGTATCTAAAATCTTGATCCCATTTTGTCTTGGTTTTTGGATAGTTTGGCGCCAGTCTCTCCCAAAACTGTTAAAACCTCACTGGGGTGATGCCTAGCAGTCCTTAGAGGGTGTCAAAGTAAGAGCCACAGCAACTACCATGGCTCTCACAAACCTGTGAGCCTTCACACAAGCCCTTTAGGCACTAAGTTGAGGAATAAGATGTGACCCAATGCCTCCAATGACTTGGCTCCTCTTTAATGGAGCTGATACCACCAACATATTCCAATTTTAGGAGAGCAGCTATGGGTCTTGAAGATGTTTGTGATTTTTTTTTTCCTGTATGTTTTTGGGATTTGTAGTCATTTACTATTCCTTTTCCTGGGATAGTTATGGTGCTCTGGGGCTACCACTGAAGACCAGGGCTTTTCAAGCTGCAGACAAAGTGCAGGATTCTTCCATGCCCACTGTCATGTTCATTGGGTTGGCATCTATGTGTATTTAGACAATATTGAGACAAATGTTAGATGGAATCACCAGATTGCTTTATTTTATTGTAGCACCCCAAAAATGTTAAGGGCAGTCAGGACTTGGTCTGTGAGATGCAGAGAGACCATGGCAAACAGACAAGAGAGATTTGAGGTGATCTGCTGGATCATGCAGAGGCTGAGGACTGGGAGTGTAACCCAGCCCTTGCACCCAGATCTCCTTGCCAGGGGATTGCTTGGCCTCTCAGAGACCCAGCTCATGGAATATTCAAGAGCCATTTCAGAGTAACACACCACACAGAATGCAAATCTTTGGGAAAATAACTAATGTACTAAGCAAATTTGAGGAGACTGGTAATGTTCATTCACTATGTTGAGATCACCTACAGCAACTGCAGAGAAAGAGAATAATAATGAGAACAAGTGGCTTGAGTATAATGACTGCAACCTTCTCTGCTGGCTGGTTTTCATGACTCACTATCTGCACCTCCAGAGTCATCCCAGCTGAAGGTTTGGCAAAGCTTTCTTTTCTTATGACTATAAAATGGTGAACCTTGATGTAAAATTGAATTGCAAAATGAACATAAATGCACAATATGCCTGCAAATACAATTAGATATTTTCAGTTTGCTGCAAGCAAATGGTCTTTGCTGTCAGCCCTCAATGCTAGATAAATATTCCATGGATGAATTTCTGTGGAACAATAGTGACATCCAGTGGGTAGGGAGCTTAATCACAGGTATCTCCTGCATAAGTCAATTCCCACAGAGATGTGTTTTCCTCTTCCCCTTGCATCCTTCTGTATCACACAGGAGAAGCATCACACCCTTGCAGCATAGTGAGTGCTCAACTGGATCTGTGTACAGCAGCCACAACCTGCATGTGGTGAATACACGGAGAAAATAAGAGCAGATGAAAGCTGGCAGGAAATGGTCCATCCAGTGTGGAAGTCACTACTGCCAGGAAAGGGCAAGGAGTAGACAAGGAGCTCTAACAAGTTTGGCTACTGGTTTAAAACTTATTATTCAGAAAGCAACACTTTAATAGACTAGAAAATAAACTCAGGCCACAAACAACTCATTCAACCTCCTAACAACAGAAAACTAAAAAAAAAAATTTTGGTTTATAATAACGAGAGAAAGATATTATTAGACATCAAAAGAAGGGCAATTCAATACCTGGGAACAAGCCAAAATAAGAACTTCCTCTCAAAAACACCCAACATCCAAAGAGACAAGAAGCAAACGATGCAAGATCAAATTCACAAACAATAGCAAAGTCATACGGTGGCAAATATGCCATGAATATGCAGCATATTTGCTTGGGCAAAACCTCTGCAACATTGTGCTGTAACAACACTAGGTCTCAGTAACTCTGTGCCAACGTTCCTGCTATGACCCTAAACCACAGCGAGGGAGAGTAGACAGTGAAGTCAGGATTACAGCTCTGGTGACAAGATTCAGATT